CTCACTCGTCGGTTGAAAATTGACTGCATAATATTGCAAGATGAGGACAAAACAGCAAAGAATAAACTCCACGAAAGACCACACCCATCTAGCCATTGGTATTCAACCTGAACTTTAATTCTCTCTTTTGTTGGATAACCTGTAGGAAAGGACAAAAAGACTTATTAATTACCCTACTAATTAAGAAACACATTAAACACAACGAAAAACGCACCAAAAAAGCAAGTAAAACAGCTGAATCATAAAATGACAAGCGTTATTTTTACGCCATTTTATATCACAACCGGTAATAAATTTGAAAAAAAAATTTTTCATTAGAATTTTAAATACACATTTGGCGCCAGTCTAGAAAGCTGCCAGGACATGTCAATACAGCGCTCCCTTGCGTCAATTTTGGAAACGTTCAGATAATCTCGTTACCAGTTGCAGTTATATGATTATTAATACGCAATAATGTTTCGTTTTGTCTAATTGTCGTGATAATTAGTTACAGTGGATGCATTTAATTTTTATCAAAATATTTTTTTAATCCGGCATTGCAACACCCGGCAACTCTTTAGTAAAAGAAAATAGTATATATTAAATACAATATGTACTACTACCTTCGTGGAGATTAACAAATTTGTTGATCTCTTCGATGACGTATTTGCTTCTCGCTCACTGGCAGTTGCTGGCAGTGCTCTTCTGTTACGATAGTATCAGATAGTATTTGTGACTTATTAATGTGATATTATATGTGCATTTTTGATAAAAGTAATAGTGCAATATTTGTATTACAATAGGTTCTGGAATCACAGTTTTATCTGTTGGAAATATTTTTATTATTCGGCTTTCAGATTTTTTTACGATTCCTTGTAAATAAATTGTTAAGTAACCGAACAGAATATGGAGTTGACTCCGCCATATGTTTGATAATCTAGGAAAAGCGTGAAAATTTGTTTATGGATATTGGTCGATTTAGTGAAAAATAGTGGCTTTCAGTTCGGTACAAACTGATTTTGTAAAATAATTCAGTTATGTTTCCTATTTTGGTGACAACATTACCGTTTTCTTTCATTAACCGCTTTTTATTCTACAAACTGATTATTTTTAACATTTATTTGTTCTTTTCGTAGACACACTTCGGAGTGTATTCTTTTCTGCCTTCTCCAAACAAATTTTTTCCCTTAGTAGTTCAACCTACGTAAACAGTGGACTTCCTTTCTAATCGAAAATTTTAAAGATCCTTATTGACAAGAGGTAAGATAAACGGTTCTGTAAAGTTCAAAATAAAATATAAATCAATTGATTACTTAAAATATGCATATAGAAAGTTTATTTAAATAAAATATGTACATAGATGCTATAAATTTAAAATATTTATTGTTTTTCTATAGCCTTGGGTGTACCAAGGAGCATGGAAATGGTCTATCCATGATGTAATAATATTGTGAAGAGGTTTTTCCAAATGTATTGTTTTTCCTACTTTGGGTAAGATTTTAGCTCTTAATAATTTAAAAATCGAATCTTATCTTCAGTTTCCTTGCTAAAATTTAATTCAAGAATGTTCATATCAATTTTTGGGCTGCTGTAAATGTAATACATGTAAATAAAAGATAAAAAATATATAATTTACTTTAATCCATCAATTATTGAATGTATACAGAACAAAATTTCATTGTACAGTATTTGTAAGTGAATAATCTGCACACAAAACATAACCATTTATTGTTTTGAAGAAAAAAAAATTACTTTTTGTCTAGATTAAGTTTCAAAGAAGGGCGCTCTCTCCTGGAAATAAGGATAACGATCAGATGATGAAGTGGATTACTGAAGAATAAGTTTGTGATCTGTAATTGTGTACTTCTTGAATACATTAGGGGTTGTAAAACTGGTAAGTGAGAAAAATTTCTCATTTGCTCCAGAAATGACCTTAAAGAAAGCACGGCTTTTTATTGGGAATGAAGGCAGTGTGTTGTTGCTAAAGGGTGAATCTATAACTAGTAAGTAATAGTACTAATTAAAAATAGTCAATGAGGTCCCACAAATTTGACATTTGCAACTTTTAATAGAAAATTTTTAAACAGTGTTTCAATAATGGCAGAAGCACAACAGCTGAATTAATATAGAACTGATCTTTTCATCAGTATGAATGTTACTGATTTAATTGTTTTAAAAGTGGTAATTAATTACTTTTTCTTGCCCATTTGTAAAGATTGTCAAACAAATGAGAAGAAATTAATTTTGGTACTGTTGAAACAAGCAATGCTTTTGATGTCTTCACCTTGCAGCATTGAGTAGTTAATTTTGGCTCTGAGAATGGGAGACAATTGGAGATATAATTCGGAAGCCACAGAAACAGCAAATTATCTGCAGTGGTTTCTAGATTTTATTTTCCCACTATAGTGGTAGATTTTATAACGCTACTTTCTACAGTTAATTGAGGTGATAATACATGACATAATTAATATTAATTTCTCTTTATTAATCTGTACTGGCATTTCTTTTAACAACTATCTGTTCTCCATAGTATTAATTGATGTTGTGATCTATTACCGGCAACATCTATGGAATTTCGTTTAACATGTATCTATTGTTCACAGCTAAAATTGATTATCGTGCACTATGGTATTTCAATAATTATCTATTGTCTACATCATAAATCGACGTTATGCATATTATCTATGGTTATGCATCTACGATTATATCTCATTTGTCAAATGTGATCTATCATGTCAACTTGACGCTTGTCTCCATTTTATAGTTCGCTTGTTTTACTTGCTTTTTGATGCGTGTTTTTGCGTGTCCTGTATCTCTTTGCGTTAATTAGTAGTGTAACTGATATCTTTTTTGCCAATTTCCGCAGATCGTCCTATAAATGAGAGAGAATTTGTTTAGTTTGGATACCAATGGCTAGATGGGTGTGGTCTTTCGTGGAGTTTATTCTTTGCTGTTTTGTCCTCATCTTGCAACATTATGCAGTCAATTTTCAACCGACAAGTGAGAGCAACTGGAGATTTATTGGAATTCCAGTGAAACAACAAATTTTCTGCTATGGTATTTCTCCTGAAGTTGGTTTGCTTTTCACACCTGCAAACTTTGGAACATTACGTTCTACAGTTAATTAAGGTGAGAATACTTGATATAACTAATTTTAATTGCTCTTTATTAATCTGTTACCACCGTGTCTGTTTCAGATCGACGTTGAAGAAGACATAGATGACCCCATACTTAAAATAGTTCTTTATCTTGCATGCTCTATCTAGTAGAATTCATTAAGTCTATTTTATTCAAGTTAATTTTTTATTTTGCATGTTTTTTTGTAGTTAATTTGAGTTAGTTTTTATTTTGCATTCTTATTTTTGTTCATTTTATTT